TTTTTAGCCTATTTTAAAGAAACCATCTATAAATCAACTAAATTTTTATCAGGTTACACTTTAATTGATTAACAATTAGTAAAATTAGGGCTGTAAACGAACCGAATGAACACAAATGGAGGCTTGTTCATGTTCGCTCGTTTAAGTTAGCCGAACAAATAAACGAACACGAACGAGTTTTCTTGTTCATGTTCGTTAGTTTAACAAATTACATTGTTCATGTTTGTTCGTTTATGTTCGTGAGAATGCTAAACGAATATAAATGAACAAAGATAAACAAACATAATTGAACCTGTATGAATATAAATGAACATATAATATAGTAATGTAATTAAACACAATTAAGCATATATGAACATAAAATGAACTTATATAAACGAACAACATAAACGAACGTTTACGAACATAATTGAACGAACGAGACCATTGTTCATGTTTGTTCGTTTAACTAAACGAACGAAAATTTGTGTTCATGTTCGTTCATTTATTAAATAAACGAACTTCCCGTCGAACGATTCACGAACAGTTCGCTGAACGTTCAGTTTGTGTGCGGCCCTAAGTAAAATGCTTACTAACTTATAAAAATAAATTAAAAAAATTGTACTATAAAGGCTAACAATGAGACTATAATCAAGGTCAAATAGGAACCTTGGAAAATTTTAACCGTTTGGACACTAACTTATAAAAAATAAAGACAAATAAACTTGTTTTTAAATGAAGCGAGCATGAAGAAACCCAATAACTCCAACCCTAGTGCACAAATCTTGGATATTGATCGTGGTTCTGCTAAAAGGAAAAATAGTTTCTAATCCCAACGGAAGGGAAAGACTAAGGTTGGACAGTTTAACCAATGCCCTAAGAGAAACGTCCAAGCTGAGAAAGCTCCTTCTGCTGATCCAAATGAGTCTATTTGCTTTTATTTCCAGTCTAAGGGACACTAGAAGCGTAGTTGCCCTAATACCTGGAGGATCTCAAGAATGGCAAAGTCAAGGTGACTGGCACCTCAGGTATGTTTATGATAGAACTCCATAATGCATCTACTTTTAACTATTGGATTCTTGAGACAAGATGTGGTACTCACATTTGCTCTGATATGCAGGGACTAAGACAAATTAAGAAGTTAAGGCATGGGGAGCTCAACCTAATCATGGGAAATAGACACAAGTTGTATGTTACAAGGATTGGGAACTATGTGCTTGTGCTTGGTGGTGATGTTTATCTTAGTTCATCGAATTGTTTCTTTTAGCTTGATATGGATGAAACATCATTTCTTTTCATGCAATTTATAAGGATGGTTATCATTTTTCTTTTGACAATGATAATGGTGATATTTTAGTTTATAAAAATGGTTGTTTATATTTAAAGTTAGTCATTGTAAAGGTGTGTATGAAAGTGTTGTTTAAATTGGTGAAATTGATAAATTGTTATTGAATATTGGTTCGTCTAATAGTGAATTAGATAAGTCGTGTTTGTGGAATTGTCGACTTGGCCATATAAAAAAGAAGCGCATTGCCATGCTCCAATTAGATGGGATATTGAAATCATTTGACCTCAAATCTTGCTTACTTGGCAAGATGAAAAAGGCGCCATTCACAAGTCACTATGAAAGAGGCAATTATTTGTTGGATATCATCCACAAAAATGTTTATGGGCCATTCAAATCCGCCACAAGACATGGAGAAAGATACTTCGTGACTTTCACTGACGATTTTAGCAGATATGGATATATCTATCAAATCAAGCATAAGTTAGAAACTTTTGAGGTGTTCAAAGAGTTTCAAAATGAAGTAGAAAGCCAATTGGACAGAAAGATCAAGATGCTCTAATCCGATAGGGGTGGAGAACAATGTTTTGAAAACCGGACCGAAGACTTAACCGGTCGAGCTACCGGTTCGATGGTTCAACGCATAATAATCTTCAGATGGCTTATGAAGTTAACAAGACTGTTTAGTGTTTTAAAAATGACTAATAAATCTGCCTAGAAATATCTACTTGAAAATTCAAGTATCCCACATCGCCTAGGAAACAAAAGTAGGTTGCAATGAGACTTCTATAAATTGGAAGGGAGGCAAAGGCTTTATGATGTGTGAGGGCGCTGAACATCTAATGTCGTGGGTGCCCTTGGTGGCCCTCAGAATTTTAGAGAGGTCTAATAGTGTTTTTATTAAAATCGAGTTTAAGCTTCAGCAAAACTGGTTTTTTTTGGTTCGACCACTCCGGTTGAACTGGTTTTTGAGTGAACCATCCGGTTCTTTGGCGGTTCATTTACAAACGGTTTTTGGGCTTCAAAGAACCGGTAACCTGACCGGTTCCCGGTCTAACCGGCCGGTCCAACCGGCCGGTCAGACCTGGTTTTCAAAACAGTGGTGGAGAATATTTAAGTCTTGAATTCTACGATCATATTAAAAATTATGAAATAGTTTGACAATTATCTCCTCCTAGAACACCACAGTTGAATGGTGTGGCTGAGAGAAGAAATCAAACACTATTAGATATGGTTTGATCTATGATAAGTCGAGCTATACTTCCTATATCTTTTTGGGGGTATGCCTTGGAGACATCCGCCTACATCTTAAACCTTGTAACTACTAAGAAGGTTGCTAAAACACCCTCTGAGATGTAGAGTAGGACACATCCCTCTCTAGCACATATAAAAGTTTGTGGTTGCGAGGCTTTTGTTTGTCAAGAGGCGAATGATAAGCTCGAGCCCATATCAGAGAAGTGTTACTTCATTGGTTATTCATAAAAGTCTTTTGGGTACTTGTTCTACAAGCCTTCTGAGAACAAGGTGTTTGTTACTCGAAGGGGATTCTTCCTCGAGAGGGATCTCATTTCCAAAGATGACAGTAGGAGACATATTGACGTAGAATAGCTTCAAGAGTCAAGTGAAGAATAATCTTTAGTAGACACGAGCGCTACACCTGAGGTGTAACAACCGTTTGTGGAACCTCAACCTGAGGCAAAGCCACCTGTTGAACAAAATGATATATCTCCATCTCCCCTTCACAGATCCAATAAGTTCGTATTCCTCATGATTTATATGGTTTCCAAATGACCATAGAAGGAGATGTATTGATCAGTGATTGTATACTGGTTAATAAGGATGATCCATCCAACTATAAGGAAGCGATGGCGGGCCCTGGGGCTGCCAAGTAGAAGGAAAGCATGGAGAGCGAGATTCGGCCCATGTTGGACAACTAAATTTGGAATTTGGTTGATCCCACCCCCGGAATCAAAATTGTTGGGTGCATATGGTGTTGGGTTTTTATTCAAAAATCCGGTTTCACAACCGGTAAAATTGACAACGGAAGCTTTAAAAATGTTGAATAAAACTAAAACTATTTTACCAACCAAGGATCATTTTGCAAGAGTTAGAAAGATTAAAACAACCATAGAAGGGAAAGCGTAACAACCTTTGAAGACTTTGATCCTCATGGGAGGTTGGAAGTTGATGAAGTGTGGCATGAAACTCTAAAACAAGAGTTCTCTACAAGTATCCACCAAGCAAGAGTAGAACCATCAAAACATTCTAGTATTCACTTGTAATTTGTTGTTCATAAGCCTTTGAAATATATATACCAAATATATGTTCAAAGGTGAAGCAACAAAGGGGCATTGTCTAGCATCAAAATGCAAGATAATGGAGAAGAAGAAGTGCCTTCAAATTCCGAAATTTGGCAATCCT